GCCGCCTAGTCTTACTAGCTTCCTAGTGCGCCATCTCGAATCGGCCCCTGGTAAATACCCTGGTTGTGCCTGTCTGCATCATTATTTTATTTACTGGCTAGTTTTTCATAATGGCACGTGACCAACAAGCATTATTTTATTGATGCGTTGCGCTGGTAGATGCATGTTTTAAATTTGTAAAATGTGTTTTAATTACCATGATATTTTATATGGCTTATTTTTGATGATTATTGATAAAAAAGAACACAATACACGTATTATATAGTATAAGTAAAGAACACATTTATTACCAAATTGTTCTTGATACTTCCCGTACGGACAGTGCGATTGATGCCGAAAGTCGATGCGAGAGCTGCGGGTGATGCGGGCGAGCGAGTCGTGCGAGAAGTGTTTGCGGGACATACGATTTTCAGATCCGAGTCGTGCGAGCGATGCGAGCGAGCGATTGATGCGGAAAGAGTCTGTTTCAGCCTTAAGACTCCGCTCGCTTCGCTCGCTCCGTAAAGACTACGCTCGCTTCGCTCGCTCCGTAATGATGTGCATTTTAAGCCCAATATGTCCTTCGCTGTGCATCTCCCTGCCTCCGGCGTTTCAGCAGTCAATCTGGATTCGATTTATCCTCTCCCAGTGCTAGTGGCGCCCTCCCCGGCGCGTTGGCTGGTCTCGCCCAACGCTCCAATAGTTCACACACTCGCTGCCACCACTCGCCGGGATATTAGGAACAGGGCTCCGCAGTAAAATACAATCACAACGACACTTTTAAAGGTTTAATTATAAATTTGTCGGAAGCAATATATCGTCAATTGGCGATCAGATTTCCATTCCACGGCCGGTGGGCCCTTGGCGATAATTTATGCCGCCTGAATCGGCCAAATTTATGGGTGCGTTGTAGGGATATGAGCCGCGTGTCACGGTGTTAGCCTGTCGGGTCGCCGAAATGGGGAGAAATGTGCCAACCACGGTCCTGCGGGATCGTTCACGCCGTTTTTGCCTCCATTGGCCAACTGACGAGGTTCTAGGTGCCGTGAATTGTCGGTTCGCTGGTCTGAAGACGCGGCACTGTTACTTATCCGGTATCGGCGGCGCCGCGCTCTCATCTGTGATAGAGGCGGCGCCGGCAGACCTCACCGTGTCGCAGCCCTCTCTGGACGGTGACGGCACATGATGTAGTGCCGCAGCCGTTGTCAGCGCGCACAGATACTGACGGATGGCACCGGTGCTGTATTGTTGTACGGGGAGTGTGCTGTGTGCGCCGCGGGCCGCGCCCTGCTCGACCGTGTCTCGAGGGACGGCCAGGACGACATCGTCAGGCCGTGGGCGTCTGCAGCGGCCGCTATGGGGCCGTCACGCTCGCTGGTACCCCCATCACAAACCAGACGACTGTAAGGGCGCCATCGCCGGCCCAGTAGCCGGCTTTGAAAGCCCGGCCATGGCCCCAAACGGCTGCGGCGGGCCAGTGGCACGGTGCTGTGACGCCTCTGTCTGGGCGGCGTGACGCCGGCGTCACGCTCCGTTGGTCGCGCCACTGTCCGTCTGGGATCGACCGGTGCTCGCCTGTTTCGCCGTCGGCCGCGCGGCGATGGGGTGTGTCCGGCACTGTCCGCCGCTGGCGGCGCCGGCCGGGGACGCCATGCGGCCGCCCGGCGCCGATGGCTCCTTTCCGCCGGCTAACCGCCGCGCCAGCCGAGCGTATCAAAATATCGCTCTGGGCCTCGTCTGCCCGGCCCGGGTCGGCCGCGTGGCCCCCACTGAGGCTCAGCGGCCGCTGGTGGCCCCCAGTCGGTCATCCGGCATTCAGCATTACACATTCACTTGTGTCGCTGGCCCTCGTACTGTTGAGGAAGGCTGTTTGATGATTTGTCATCCTCGCGTCAATAATTTGGTTGCATATTTCTGGTCAGCCTTTGTGTGCCACAATTCTAGTCTTGTTAGCCACAAGCTTAAACACAATCATCCTATCCGTTCTTGGGTCCACAAGAAGTGGCGAATGCTCGTGCACATGCGGTCAGTGTCACCCCAGCTAAGTTTTCATTGAGCTGGTCCGCGACAGTGCCTGGTTTGAAGAGCTGGTTCCATGTAGCTGGTCCGTGACAGTGGTCGTCGGCTTTGAGCTGTGAACGGTCCTTCGCTCTGATGCAAAAGCGGTTTCTGCGCTGTGTACGTGTAGATAGTAGCACCTCAACTGTCGCACACGGAAACATGTTTCCCGGTGGGCGCTCACAGCCCAAAGACGGGACCAAGTTGAAAGTGACTCAGTAATTGTTCATATGGAATGTTGTCTGATTTATTCACCCGTATGACCTGTTACCTATGTCCATTGTCTATTTTTCAAAAGGTTCCTATTAGAATAAACACCCAGATGAATACAAAATGTTTGCATCATTATGAAACAATGTATTTTGCATGAGAAATAAAACACGATGATGAGTTATATGATTCATAAATAGCCAACATCGACATAATAAATAAGATTAAGGTCAGCGAACACCATTCAGCATAGATCACTTAGTTGTAGGCGGGCTTGTAAGCCGGCTGGTAGGCGGGCTTGCCGTAGCTGGGCTGGGGCTCGACGTAGGCGGGGTCCACCTCGGGGGTCGGGTACTCGGTGGGTACCGGGGTGGGCAGGATGTCGCTGGACGGCTGGTAGCCGTTCTCGTCGGCGACAAATGCGACCTTGACCTCCTCGCCGTAGCCGTTGGTATAGCTCCAGGAGCCCTCCTGGCGGTAGAGGTCCTCCGACTCGCCGTAGGCGCTCTTGCCGTAGCCGGGCACCGGCACGCCAGTCTCAGACCTGAAAAATAAATAACGTATTATTGTATTGTATATATTCAACATTCAATGTCCGTCCGTGCTCACACAGTTTGTTTGATATCTTATTGTGGACTTTGTACTTCTCGTTCTCGTGGTCACTGGTCAGTGTTATGCTTTTTGCCATATTTGAATGCAACAAAATTGGTTTCTACGAAAATATCGAATACTCTTATAATCTTGTCAATAAGTCAGGCTAATCGTGGCTACAGATACATCACGTATGGACTATTGATGTTTCGTGTAGTCGAACAGTTCTCATTCAAATGAAACATTTCTAACATAACAGGCGAAAGGTCATTATAGCTGATGTTACTAAAAAGTGGTATATTAATTAACTGACCTGTAGATGCCGTTCTCGGTGGAGAACTTGGAGCTGTAGGTGCCATCTCCGGGGTGGACGTCCTCCTGCTCCAGGATAGCGATCGGCTTGTAGCTCGAGTGGCCGTAGGACGGGGCAGGAGCGTACTTGGGCTGGGGCTTGTAGGTCGGGGCCGGGGCGTAGGTCGGGGCAGCGTAGGTCGGGGCAGCGTAGGTGGGACGGGGCCTGTAGGAAGGCTGGGGCCGGTCGGCGACGGCCACCAGGGCCAGAGCAGCGACGATGAACTGCAATGAAAATATGGTTTGTTACTTCTTTGCCTAGTACAAGTACTTGCTATCCTACTTCTGTTTTGCTACTCCTGATCGAAATTAACAACTATATTTTGAGCTGCAGACCGTTGCTGACAGCGATGCTGAATTTCTGTTGAATGAAATTAAGAATTGAGGCCTGTCTTATCTTATAATTATTTGGATTGTACTTATTTGGTCATATCCTGGAAACGTGCAACGAAAATGTTTTTCACATTCGCATCCAAAAGTCTAATCACAGACCGATTGATAAAAAGCTAAACTATATCAATGCTCTCCATTTCATACGAGTGCTACTCACCAGCTTCATGTTGACTGTAGTGGGATCGGTGTGGAACTGATGCTCTCCCACGGTCGGTGCGGCCTTAAGTAGGTGGCGGTGTGGGGCGGGACGAGGCCCGGCGGCCGGTCACGCCCCCCCCCCTTCCGACCCTGACGGAGGTCAACACACGGCGCTGAGTACGGGACAGAAGCGCTACAGTGGAAGCAGGCGCGACCCTGCAGGGGCCCTGGTCTGTAAGGAAAGACAGAGTGGCAGCTCTTAAATGTATTCACAAATTGCTACTACATTTTGCTACTGTATTTGACCAACAGCTTGACCAAAGCCTAGACGCTTCACCAGCGATGACAACTGAGGAAATGAAGAACCCCGTACTTACCTAGCGGGCGTGTTTGACGTTTCATTTTTTTTCAAGCGAGTTCGCTAACCTGACCTTTCATCGGCCTTTTTACCGTATCTTTTGAACGAGACCCAGATGCGTAGTGCAACCTAAAGTGACCGTCCCTCCTTAACATTAGTTTTGAGTTGAGATAGCCAACTTGGGGTCCATGGCCTGCAATTACCGGTTAGGGCACTAACAACATCGAGAAATGCTTTAATTCCGAGATATTTAAGTTCAGAGTCTGCATTTTTTCGGATACTCAGGGGCTAATGCCTTTGAATGTCCCCTTATACTTTGTGACGTCAGCGCAGATCTCTAACAGTTTTCAAATCTTATACTAAAGCCTTTGTAAAAGACAATTGTTGCTTTGGTGGTATATACATATGTACTAACTACTAACTTGCGCGTAACATATGTCACACTTTAAAGATACAAAACTATTGTTCCAAATAACGTCACAGGAACAACGGAGGCCCAAAATGAAAATTAAAAGGAATAAAAGTCTAGTTCCTAAAAAAAAATGAATGGTTAATTGTTTTCGTTGGGATTTGGTGCACATTCATGTTTCCTCCTTCTGAACCACGGACACCCCTTAAGTTTTTTGACAGTGGGAGGGACCCTCGCCTCGGCGTCCGTTCCGTATCTCGGTAGAGCGTTGGATTCCCGGGTTCAAGTCGCTCCGGCAATCGATACCTATCCGATAGAAAGCATGCATTGCAGGGAGATGAATGGCAAACGTGCGGAAAGTGATTTATTTAAGGTATATTTTGCAAATGCTTACACAACAGATACACATAAATACAGATTATGCTTCCAACATTTCAGATGATGACAACGATCGGTTTCAAAATCACTTCAGTCATATACTGTGTGATTTCACCTCGCGTTTTCAGCATCAAATATTGCATTTACTTAATTGTAGGAAGGCCTGTAGGCCGGCTGATAGGCGGGCTGGTAGGCGGGTTGGGGCTTGCCGTAGGTGGGCTGGGGCTCGACGTAGGCCGACTGGGGCTCGACGTAGGCGGAGTCAACAGCAGGGGTCGGGTACTGGGTGGGCACCGGCGTCGGTAGGATGTCGCTGGACGGCTGGTAGCCGTTCTTGTCGGCGACAAAGGTCACCTTGACGGGGTTGCCGTATCCGTCGGAGTAGCTCCAGGAGCCCTCCTGGCGGTAGCTGCCCTCCGGCTGTCCGTAGGCGTTCTTGCCGTAGCCGGGCAGAGGAACACCGCTCTCAGACCTGAGAATGGTTTTTATTGTGTCAATAACGTATCTTTTTGTCTTTTTTACACTGGATGTCATAATCATTCCTTATTATATTATTAAATGCGCATTTTTTCACCACAAACATACATATTGACTTTGTAAGTTTGACTTTGTGACTTTGTAAGCAAGTATATTTATTTAAAAAGCGCCTTTTATTTGGTGACCTTCTTCAAAATGGAGCGACCGTGTTGTAGAGGTGGGACCTTATTAAGGCCCGCATGGCAATAGAAGGAAACTTTGTTCTGTGAAGCCATGGTAATGAGAGCGAAATGAATATCACGGCCTTTATTTTCACGGATTTAGCGCTAACCAGACTGCTCGCATCTCAACTCAATTTCAAGTAGGTTAAGTTTTAGTATTCTTAGCCGAAATCTCGAGATTTATCATTTCTCACCTATAGATGCCGTTCTCGGTGGAGAACTTGGAGTTGTAGGTGCCGTCTCCGGGGTGGACGTCCTCCTGCTCAAGGATAGCGATCGGCTTGTAGGTAGACTGGACCTGGTAGCTGGGAGCGGCATATGTGGGGGCAGCGTAGTTCGGGGCAGAGTAGGTCGGGGCAGAATAGGCAGGTCGGGGCCTGTAGGAAGACTGGGGCCGGTCGGCAGCAGCCACCAGGGCCAGAGCAGCGACGATGAACTGAAAATGATAAACATTTGTTTTAGGTTTTTTTCCTGACAGCCTATGGTGCTGACTGGCAAAACATTTCTCCCTTTGGTAATGCTGTGAGCATGTTTTGAATTCACATGTTCTTAGAAATATATCCTGCCAAGTGCCATGGAGTATGCTACTTCTATATTGTATTCTGCAAGAATGTATTTCTAGAATTAACTATTGTAAATGCTAAGCTGCATTCAATTCTCGTTCACTCGGTGATCGATAGAATGAGTTGCACTACCGAATACGTTTCATTTACTAGTTACTCACGATTTTCATGTTGAAGAGACTTGGTCTGTGAGCCAAATGATACCCTGATTTCGTCTGTGGTGTCTTTAAATAGTTACGCGGTACATAGACGAACCGCGCCCCGCGACCCATCCATTGTTCGCATTTTACCACACTGCAAAACCTGTTCTGACGATTGACCGAGCTCGCGCCGGTCTGTTACTTAATGTTTCAATAAAGTGACATTTTTAACAACCTTGGCATGTCCCATTTCACAAAGAGGGCGTTCAGCCATACTGCTTTACATACTCGTATAGGTCTCCATTACCAGGATTCTGCATAAAGTACCGTCAATGTGACGTCAACATTGTTTTTGACTGCGAGGAGAATCAATAATATATAACTGAGCTAATACTACAAGGTTTTGATGATGAATAATCGAGGAAAACAGATTTATTTTCGCGATAGGACTAGTAAAGGCTTTTGTGACTTTTAGTACTAGGTAGCGTTCTCCGCATTCACCAATGCTGGGCGTTTTTGAAACAAGTGATTAAATATGTTGTTTTTTTTCATTAGCTCGAGTTCGAAACTACCGCTACAATGACAGGAGATTTCTAAAAATTAGTCAATAGAAACATGTTTATAAATAGACCCCATTTTTATCATCGAACGTATAAGAGCTTTTTGTTGTTTTTATAAATCACTAGAGGCATTCGGCTTCCTTTGGGTGCATCTGCTTCAACCATGCTACATTAACTGATTTACCGATTTGAAGGCATGAATACAGAATACACGTATGTGAATAGAGGAGACCCCCTATATGTAATAGGGGAGGCGCATAGCTTCGCGAAATTTGTCATGCCTTTTCTTTTATCAATTTTAAACATTGTGTATGTACAAGTTTGAACCCCCTTCCTTTTAGGGTCAGGCCACCAAGTCACTTCGAATGACCCAACCTCAAATCACTTTTTTGCAACTTTGTCACCGTGTCAGAGCTACAGTAGATGACGGAGGCCTTTGAAAGTCGTAGGATGTAATGAGGTCATTGATAGCTACAATGTGCAAATCTCTGAATTTTGATATCGATGATCTAAGGTCCGGTCAATTTCTTGACCTCCCCATGACAAGTCAATGGGGAAAAATCAACCTCCTGTTTTCCACTAAACCGGCCGGCCGGGCGCGCGGCTCGCCACCCTAGCAGGGTGACGGGTCGCGGGCCCGGCCGGCGGCCTGGGGCATCGCCCCAGCGAGAACGAGTATGTACAGCCCTCTGCAAACTGCGTGGTAGGTATTCTTTTTTCGCCAAAACCGAGAATAACGCGGATACTATGCTATCGGTCACTTGGAAATCGTAACAGCAAGACGCGGGAGACTTCGCACTTTGGATTGGCATTACCATCGTCCTCATTTTCCATCCAGTTTGGCAACAAAACCCAAAAGTTTATATTTGCCCCAAAAACAAACTTTTGCATTTTGTTGCCACACAAGGCATCTACTTTGTTTAGTGATAGACCCAATCGAAGGAGTGGAGCATGGCGAGGCGCCATACTTGCAGTGAGTTCCGACCGACTGATAACATAATCTTTGAGCTATTACCGGTTTTGTCGAAAAAAGAATACCTACTACGCAGTCTGCTGAGGGCTGTACATGTGGGATTCGCGGGGCGATGCGGGGCGGGGCGAGGTTTGTGAACGTTTGGTGCGCTCGCATTGTTACATGCCCAATATGTGCATTTGCAATGTGCATCCATATGCATGAGTGACATGTGATTCACGATGTACGTATACCTATACATCATATGTGCGTATATGAACGAAATAAATGTTTAAAAAATTCAATGGAAGAAATTTGAAAAGCGTCTGTTTTGTACGAACGCTATTCTAGACACTCTCAAACATCGAGATGTAGGTAGAATTGGCACACTGAACCGGAAAATGGCAATTGTGACCTCTCGTTATGTCCCCGAGGTCATCTCAGGTCACGAACAGAATCTAACAGTTTTTCGCTAATAACTTCTGATAGAGGCGTGTCAGAGCGCGGAAAACGCCTAGATGTGCTCGGCTCGACGTTGCGGATCGACTGATATGCAACATGACCTTTTCCGGTCAGGTCATTTTGACCTGAGGTCAAATTTTCAAGCTGACATTTCAAGGTCAAATTATTGTTCATTCGACGCGTCTCGACAAGAGGAACACGATGCTGGCAAAAGTAATGTCATGGCTCTTTTGTTATTGCCGAAAAAACGCTTTGCTTAAAAACGGCTATTTTTGGAGTTTTTGCCCTCTGGAGGCTAAATCGTTGACCTGAGGTCAAATATGAGAGCAATATTCAGAAAGGTCTGTAAAAGGGCTATCGAATGCGCTTTTCCGCGGCGCTGTATCTCTATCGGTTCTCGAGATAGCCGTCGGCAGTTTCCAAAATGTTGAAATAGTCAACATTTTACCTTTGGTGACCTCTGGTGACCTGACCTTTGACCTGACCCCAAAAATGACTGTAGTGTTTTCGTCCTTATTTTGGACGTTCTTTCGATTGCCGCTTATCGCGTGTCGCTACGTGGCCCAGGAGCCGAGTTAGAAGGGGGGATGTTCAGACACCCCCCCCCCCTGCCCGGCGCGGAATCTCGGAGCACCGGCCTGGCGCGGGTTAACCTGCGCCCCGCTGGGCGCTGGGGGGCAGAATCTGCCCCCCCCTTCCGTTTGTCGCCAATTACTTCTAAACGCGTTACGCCAGAGACGTCAAACGTTCAGTACCTTATCATACATCAATTCAAGACGTTTCCTGAAAATTTGAGCAAAATCCATCGGAAAACGCCGCTAACATCTTCATTTTTAAAGAATCAAGACATAACAAAAAAGTTTATACGTGATTCTACCTTGTCTATTAAATGGCTCTCTCGGTTTTTGAAAATTCTGGATTTTGCCCAATTTTTTACCTCCAAAAACTGACTTTTTTGGGGAAATAATTATAAAATCCATAATTTTGAGTGTATCGAGAAAAAACAAATCGGAATATATGTCAGAAAAGTGGTCTATGTGCACCTACATACCAATTTTTAGAAGAATCGGTTCAAAAATGTGGGATTTTTTCAAAATTTTATGACGTCACGACACACAAAAATTTTGAAAAATGATTTTTTTGGATTTTCTAGACCTCTTGCGGAAGCAAAAATAGCACCATTCGATTCGCCGTGAAAAACTGCATCAGATAGACACCTTTTTAGGCCTTAACAACCAACTTCAAAATTTGACCTCACTTGACCTGACCTTGACCTGACCTCGACCTGAAATTCATCCAGAGGTGGTCCATATCACTTATTGAGTGTGCCTATCGAATTCTATGGATAAAATGGCCCATAAAACATGTGTCGCACATACCCTTTTCTATATTTTGTTTTTGGTGACCTGACCTGACCTGACCTTGACCTTGACCTTTGAATGATATTGTATGCAACGAATATTGTCTTGGTAGCCTAAGAACACGTTGTGGGCAATCAGTTTCAGTCCATTCCTCGGCAACTACGGTGCAAGGCCGATACTGTAGAAACTTGCATTGCGTTTGTTTGTTTGTTTGTCGTTTATTTATGATTATGGGCATGGACAATGGACATAAATAAAGTTGAATTGGTGCAAAAGCATTAACTTATTACGAGGCACCTCTTCAACAAAACAAAACGAAACAGAGCTTCACCGAAATAAACACACGCACACACCAGATCCCACGCGCAACCCCACCGCCCCGACAGACCTTCCGACCACTACAGCTGGACCACACGCGCTCCGCCAGCCTGCGGCCTCCTCCCTAACTTTGTACGGTGGCCGGTGCCGTTCCATGGCATACGAGTATGCCGTCCCGGCCCCGGGGAGAGCTGTGGGATATCTCCCCGGGCCTGAGAGATCTAGTGGATGCCTCCCCGGCGCTCCAGACGGGCCGCGAGCCCCCGCCCGCACCCCCGGAAAATCATCTTTCCGGGGGTGCCCCCTAACCACAGTCCGGGCGAGGGGAGCGCCGACCCGACCCGACAGGCCGGCGCTCCGCCCGCCAGGCCGGCCGACCGGTCCCTTTCAAGTGGGACCGGTACTCAGGTTGGCCCGGATGGGTCATAGGGGCGGGCGGAGCGCCTCCCGCCGCCCGCAGATTCTGGCCCAATGCTTGGCAACTCAGGTTTTCGCCACAGGCCGGCGGAGCCCGCCTGGTCCTATAGTAGACCACATCTGCTGTACCCTTGACCTGACTTTGACCTGACCTCTGACCTACTTAAGCAAAAAAAATTGGGCTTTTAAGATCTGCCATGTTGAGAGCTTTCGATTGCCGTTTTCCTCGTCTTTCTTCGACCATCGGTTCGGAAGTTAGATGGGGGGCAGAATCTGCCCCCCCCCCCCCCCAGCAGGGCGCGTATGGCTGAATAGCCCAGCGGGGCGCGGGTCAAGCCAATGGGGAAAATAAAAAAGACGTTCCACGGCAAATTGCTCGAAAACGATCCAAACAACCCCCCCCCCCCATTTTCTTTCATGCGGATCAACCACCATTCGGTGCACTACCCATGCGTTTTCATCTAGGATAATTTTTGAGATATCTTTTTGATTTGTGAAAATGACCGAAAAGCTGAATCTCTGGAATCCTAGCGGCTAGCGGTATGCCAGTCGTTGATAAATTATTATCTGGCGGCGGCCGGGCGCTTTTTTTTTTGTTTGTTTTTTTGCGGTGTTTGCGTTTGGCGGCTGGCAGGCGACTTTTAGGCGTTTTCGGTTGGCAGTTAGCGACCGTGCGATGCGGGCGGTTTTATTTTTTCGGCGTTTCTGCGTTTTTTGTGGTTTGCGGCGGTCGGGCGATTTTTTCCACGTTTGCGTTGGCGTTTCGGGCGAGCGCTTTGCACGTTTTGCGGTGTTTACGTTTTGCGGCGGGCGGGCGTTTCGTGTTTTTTTTTGCGGTGTTTGTCTTTGGCGGCGGGTGGGCGGCGATGCGGGCGGTTTTCTTTTTACGTCGTTTGCGGTGTTAAATTTGTTTGCGGTTGGCGACCGCTTTTTCGTTTATTCTTTTGCGGTGTTTGCATTTGGCGGCGGGCGGGAGTTTTCGGTTGGCGTTTTCGGTTGGCGGTTAGCGGGCGCGCGAT